TCCATAGTGCTTACCACAATCAAACATTTGGTATATTCACCTCTTTTTTCATTGTCTGTCTCCTCCCTCTAGGATGTTGTTGTTTTTCAGTCACTCAGTCATGTCCGACTCTTTGCAACCCCACGGACTGTAGTATGCCAGGCTTCCCTGTCCCTCACCATCTCTTGGAAATTGCTCAGACTCATGTCCATTGAGTTGGTAATGCCATCCAACTATCTTGTCCTCTGACACCCCCTTCTCCTCCTGCCTTCCATCTTTCTCAGAATATAAGATGCATTAATAAAGATGCTTGTTTGTTTTCTTTACTGCTTTATCTCCCAATGATTATGACATTGCCTGGCACACAGTTGAAATTCAATACATGTTTGTTGAATGAATTATTTTTTTCTTCCTAAGCAACTTCTTTGTTTATACACTGAATCCAGTCTCTACTGTCTGTTTAGAAATTGTTTCATCAACTATTCTCAAATTTTCCTGTATTTTTCCTCTCTGCTGCTCATCTAAATCAGTGTTTTCAGCCCATAAATATAGTTAAATATCACTAATATCTCTTACAAAATCTTTCCTGTGATTTCCAGTTCAAGCTGAGATTTTAAAATACAAGGAACACAAAATGGGATTAAACACATTATAGGAAATGAGGGTTGGGCTAGATGTCAAGAGTGAATTTCAAAAAAAAAAAATAGTAATAGGAAGAAAATGGGAGAAAGTTTAAAGATGAAATAGAAGCTGAGGGTAATTGTAGCCCAGAAGGAGGAAGGAGCTTTAGTATGTGTGTGTGTGGGTGGGGGGGTGGGTGGCGGGACACTGTTAGCTAATACCCTTGGTGATCCCTAGAGAGAATATGGAACCCTAACTGATAGAGAGCAAGGTCAGAAATGAGAAGTAAAACCAAAAAAAAGGAGGTTTTTTTGACATATGTTTATAGAAAGCTGCATCAGTCTGTTCACCCATTTCCTCTCCCCATTGTTAAACACACAGCTGTTCACAGCAGAGTTAGTGAGTATGCCAAGACATAGTGTACTTTTGAATGTTTTAGATCATGAGCATATATTACTTTGACTTAGATTTTTAAAAAGATGGAAAATGATTAAAGGCAGTAGTAAAAAGGCAACGTGGAGTAGCACTTGACTGAAGCAGCCCAGGCACCAGACTGCCTGAGTTTGAATCACAGGTGTGCTACTTCCTAGCTGAATAACCTTGGGTAATTTACTTAGCTTGTGTCTCAGTTTTACTGTTTGTAAAATGGACATAATAGAGGTGTTTTCCTTACAGGTTTGCTGTGAGGACAAAATCAGTTGTTAAGGTACTTAAACCAGTGTCTTATGTATGTGATAAATTGTAATTATGTTTTTGGGAAGGGAAAAAGAAAAAAAAATTATGAACCAATTCAATCTGTTTATGTACTCTAAATTGACTCACATCTCATTTCTCTTGTAATTCTGGGTTTGGTAGTCTATTGAAGGAGAAGAATAAGGGTTGAGTCTGAGCAATTGTTTGGGATTTCTGAAAAAGGAGCAGGGGAGGGGGGAAATTTTAATTTGATTGGATGTTTTAAAAATTCAACTAGTAGAGTGCCTTGATCAACATTCCTTTTGTCTGTTTTGTTGGTATTGTAACTAATTTTAAGGAAAAAGCAAGGCTTACTCCCTCCACAGAGCCCTTTGCAAAATCCCTGGCCCACTAAGAACTCTCTTTATCCCTTGCATATGTTAATTTTTAATTGCATTTAGCCCCATTTTATATTGCATACTTTAATTATTGAGACAGAAATTGTTCTTTATTATATGATACTACTAAGTAGAACATATTTTACTAATTACTAATTTTACCCCTTTTACTAATTATGGGTTTATAGAGTATATTTATTTAGTATAGCAATTTTTATAAAAGAATATTAATTTTCCCTTCACCTAACCTTTCCTGTAACACTTTGTACTTTCTTCTTTTAATGGCTAAATCATTAGAAATGGAAACCTGCATTCTATAGTAGTGTGGTTTCCATTTCTATAGCTGATTTACTCTTTAACCCTCTACAGGTTGCTTTAATCCCTCTACTCTGCTCAGACTCTCATTGGGGTGTGCACCTATTTCCTAGTTGCCAGGGCAGTTATCTATTTTAGTCCTTATTTTGCTTAACCATTCAACATCAACATCTTGACCACTTCTTGAACTTTGAATCCTCTTGAAGCTTCTTGAATCTTCTCTGTTGGATTTCAGGAAAGTCTTCTCAGCTCACACCCCACCTCCCACCATTCCTTCTCTCAGTCTTCTTCGTCAGCATCCATATTTAAGAAGACCCTTTGCAGATCTTTCATTCCTCAGCTGGCAAATATAAATATTAGAAATTGAATAGTAAGTAGGGCTAATGTATTTATTAGGGAATATTATTAAGAGTTTAAACATTGTAGGATATTTGACATATCAAATAATACATTCTAGGGAAATGATTATTATTGAGGTAATAGCATGGTTTGAAGCACCCAAAATTACGGGAAAAAAATTCTGTGATAGAGTTAAACAACAATTATTTTGGTATACAGAGGTAAATTAAAAGGACAATTACAAAGTGACTTACAAAGTCAAAACCAGAATAAAATTTTAATTTAGTTCTTAGAGAACTAACTTCCATGGAAGCTCTCCATTATTCTCCTTCACTCCCACAAACACTTTTCTGAAGAGCAGATACTCTCAAGAGTGCACCAATAGTAAACACATAATCTGGTGGTGCTGACAGGGATAGGGACTGCTCTTACTCATTTCCCACTCCTCCTTTCCTTCAGAAAAGATATTTTCCCTTCTCTGTTTCTTTCCTTTCTGTTTCTTTGGCAGAGTAGAATGATTTAAAGCTTGGTGAGTTTCAGAGGAGGACCTGGCAAGTGTGGTTCCTTCCTGTCCCTTTAGTCTTTAGGATTTGCCTGCCTGTATGGAATCTGCCCTGATGGATCACATGGAAATCAGTGGTAAAGGTCTCAAACTTGATTTTTAGTCAGAGTGAGTGGGAGATAACATATGCTTAATTCTAGGACTCAGAATCAGGAAGTCTGTTCTCACCATATATTCTTCAAGAGCCCCCTTTTGTTCTCCATCTGCCTCATTCTTTTGTCCATCTCATTGATTCAGAATTCAGGAGGGGAAAACTGGGGAGCTACTTACTAATTCCCTCAAAACTAATATTAACTTCCACAGCGAGTTAACTCTCCATTATTTGTAACAATATGCATCAGAGAACAATCATTTCACAGACATATTGTTCTACCTGGTAGTAGATATAGATAGAAATCTTTCTATGATTTTTAAGGCAAGATATAACTACTTTTTGGATGATTTAATCATCTCAAAGAGGCCAAAATACATCCCTCTTCAGTATGTTCATAGTATCCATCTCACAATAGTTGATTCAACATAATTCTTGTGGTCACATGACTTATTCCCTATTTTTATCATGTAGATAACAAAACAAAGAAGATTCTACCACCCAACAAAATAAGAAATTACTAGGAACAGGTACAAGAGAAATCCTGCCTTCTTCATTGGGAAATCAAATCTCCTCTAGTAGTCCATGGGGTCACAAAGAGTTGGACAGGACTGAGTGACTTTCACTTTCACTTTCAATATCATGTAATTCTCCAGTTTTCTAGGATTTTATTACAACTTATCTGAATGCAAACCAATTTTCTCAAAACTCTAGAATTTTTTTTTTTGTCCTGCAGCCATTATTATATAAAAGATAAACTTGAAATTAGGCTCAGAATCCATGACAAATGAAAGCCTTTTTCTTTTGGGTTTTCTCTGCTACATGATAGTCATGAAATATATTTTATAGTATTAACTTGAATTATTAAAATGTTATAGACTTTTATACACAGTTTCAGTCAGCCTCCCTAAGTTATATGTAAGGGAAACCTTGAGTCTTTCCAGGTTAGAGGGAGAATGCCTGGCACAGTTAAAAACTAAAACTGTAAGGTTATAATCCTGAGATATATAAGGTCTAGTCAGTTCAATCAGCAGTGACTTACAGAGTTCATGTATGAAGTATGATGTTAGAAACTGGGGAATCCAAAGATTAATTGGGCCTGGTCATTTTCTATGATGTTCTAACTCATAAATGAGAGGGGGAATATGTGAATTCAACCAACTGACTGTCAAATTCTCCTCTTCTGAGGGACCAGGATAACTAGCCTGGGTTTTTGGCAAAATGAATTAGATCTAGGGCTTCCCTGGTAGCTCAGACGGTAAAGCTTCTGCCTACAATGCGGGAGATCCAGTTTCGATCCCTGGGTCGGGAAGATCCCCTGGAGAAGGAAATGGCAACCCACTCCAGTATTCTTGCCTGGAAAATCCCATGGACTGAGGATCCTGGTGGGCTACAGTCCATGAGGTTGCAAAGAGTTGGACACGACTGAGCGACTTCACTTCACTTCACTTCTGGATAGTTGATGGTTAGATCTTGTGTTAGTAACTGCTCCGAAGCATTCATGAGTGGGCAGACCTAGTTTATGAATAAGAAAACAAAGCAACAAAAACACATTCTTGGAGAATTCTAAAGTCAATTACTTTCAGGCTTTTAACAATGAAATTTCATTGCCGTAAATTAAAATTCAAAAGACCAGGAGTCTCCTAGACACCAGGACCAAGTAAAGAATGGGAGCAGACAAAAGGAAAATAAGAAGATCCAAAATCATTACAGAGAACAGGCTGGCCAGCCAGTGATTCATTTCTGGTGGCTTCTGGCCATGTAAATTGTGAGCTAAAGGCCTGAGTTGGGAAAACACCAGCCAAATGCTAGATCGTCATAGTGCAATGGAAGGCAGACAGGGATTTCACCAAATCATACAAGTTAGTTGTTATTTTCAGTTAGTTCAATTTTTAGAACTGATGCATGGGCCTGTCACTAGAAGAAGCAGGGTTATATCGACATGGGATACCTAAAATAAGCTGGAACAGCAGCATATACATATATTTTTTGGACTTCCTATGCTTACTTTCTTTTATATCAGGTGTTTACCTCTAGATCTGAGGGTGACTGAAATCAGCCCAGCTTCAAGCTATTAAGAAATAGAAGCATAGCTTGGTCTCCAAAGGGAATACTGGAATGCTGTTTCAAATTTTAAGAGGAACAGATTTCAGATCAGCAAAAACAGATGTCCACAAAGAGGAAAGTTAAAATATCAAATGCGACAGAAGACAAGAATTACGAGGAGGAAAGAAAACCTCTGAATTTTGCAGCCAGGTAAATGTCAATCTGCATCTTGGCTCAGCCTCTTAGTAATTTTGTAATCTCTGTCAAGTCAAATAATTTCTGTGAGCCTCAATAGTAAAGTCAAAATTCTGACTCATCATTAATAACTTGAAGATGAGGTTTTGAAAACCCTTCAGTATATAACTAGTTATTAGTATTAACAGTTTTTAAGAAAATAGTCATTTCAGCAAAATTGTGCCATTTACAGAGATGTGGATGGACCTAGAAACTGCCATACAGAGTGAGGTAAGTCACAAAGAGAAAACTAAATGTACAGTAACTCATATATGTGGAATCTAGAAAAATGGTATAGATTAACTTATTTCAAAAACAGAAATAGAGACATACACATAGAAAACTAGCATAAGGACATAAGGACACCAAGGAGGGAAAAGAAGGCTGGATGAACTGGGAGGTTGGAATTCACATACATACACTTATATGCATAAAATAGAAGAGAAATCCCCTGGAAAAGGGTATGGCTTCCCACTCTAATATTCTTGTCTGGAGAATTCCATGGACAGAGGAGCCTGGCAGGCTACAGTCCATGGGATCACAAAGAATTGAACATGACTGATGGACTAATGCATCACTTTCACGTATATAAAACAGATAACTAATAAGAACCTACTGTATAGCACAGGGAACTCTACTCAATGCTCTGTGGTGACCTAAATGGGAAGGACATTTTTTTCAGAAGGGTATATATGTATACATGTAGCTGGTTCCCTTTGCTGTACAACAGAAACTAATACAATTTTGTAAAGCAACTATACTCCAATATTTTTTTTTTAAATAACCATTTCAGTGGTGGGAAATGCAAGCTAAAACAATGAATGGAGAGGAGATGAAAGTAATACATATATAGGTGAAAGGTAAGGAATGTAATCAGATGAAATACTTTAGAAAAATCAGATGATAGCTAGAACATGATATCAAGTTCAACTTATTTAATTATCTATCCTTTCCCTACCCCAAGATAGGGCAGGTCTGTGAAAATAAGAAAGCTTGGTAGTCATAGACTGAGGAAAAGATTATAGAGAAAGGAGAGAAGTGAAAGAAACCAACAAGTCATTCAAATTTAATGTAAGGAAAAGACCATTTCTCTTCCAAAACTAAAGACATGGATAAGATGACAGCCCCTTCACAGGCCATCTCAAGTATTAATTCTTCTATAAGTTCCCACTGTCTTTGATATGCCTTAGGCCACCATACCTCTTTTCCACACTGTAACGTGGTCAATTTATGTGTCTCTCTGTTACATTGCATTATCTATATCCTTACTGCTAAGTGCATTTCTTAACCTATATTACCTACTCACTAAATGTTATTTGAATGAATGAATATATGAATGAGCATAAGCAGTTGCTTTCTTTTTCTCCTATAACCAGCACTATTGCTAGTGACTTTACTCTCTTTGGTGATTCAGCTAAAAAGACTAGTATCTGGCTAATCGTTTTTTATGCCAGGACATATGAAAGATAATCCTATCTTAATAAGCTTGATTGTTAAGGCTCCATCTATTGAATGGACTCAGAAGAACCACTGTTCTCCTTCTTGCTCAATTGCAAGTTTACAAGTCTCTCTCCTTTATTTAACTATGAGCCCTTCCAGGCTAGAAGCCAAGTCTCATTCATCTTGGTATACAATACCCAAAACTTCACTCATACCCTTAACTCTATAGTAGAAAACTCACTCAGTCTCTGACACTTAGAGAAACCCTATAAATATTTGGGTAATTACTAAATGAGTATAACCCAGGTAAATAAGATTTAAACAATGCTTAGTGTCATATCATTTAAACCTACAGCTAAATAGCCTCTATTATAGTGCACTTGTTTATAAAATGATTTAAGCACATCATTCACACATCATAAAGCTGCCCCCTTAAAAGGGGGGGCAAAAGTCCCTTTGTTATATTGCATTGTGAAATGGTTAGCTGTGATATCCCCACTGAGAGTATTTAGTGTAGGTAACTCAGTTCATTGAGAGAGGGAAACAGATTTTAACTATTTCTTATTTCATATATTTGTAGCTTAGTTTGCCATGATAAAGAAAAGCTACAATCATTGATTTTCTTGTATGTTACATATGGAACATGAAAGATTGTCTGTGGTCAAGGGGAATAACTAAATAAAGGGGTCCATCTCTGTGATGAAATGTGGTTTACTATTAAGAAGAAAATCTTTCATTTCCAAAGACTGACTATGATGATACTTTGAAAAAAAAATCCCATATAGTTAAATGTAGGACCATGAAAGAATTCCACCCAGTGACCTCCTCTGTAACATTTCATTTGATTATGATTTGGAAATGTTTTTCCCTTACTTTAAACCTTTCTCTTGAAATCGCCTAATTCAAAGTCCTTAAATCAGTGGCAAGAGATTTGTTGGCCAAAATTAATGCCTCCCTTATACAAATGGTCTTTTTAAATTATGTGGTTCCCATTTAAAAGTGGCTCTTTGTGACTAAGATGGTTTTAGTTTGTGATTGTGCAAGAATGGCTTCATGATTTTTAGCTCTGAACTTGGTCTTTTCACGCTTTCTCTTGCAAGCTTTGTCTTCTCTTTTCTGAAGTTATTTGAGGAAGATAAAGAGGCTTATAGACACTGACACATTGTTTTTGTTGTTGTTGTTTTAAGTTTAAAATTGACTCAGAGAAAAGAGATATTGTCATAGATCACTGCTTATTGCATAGAATTTTTATTGTCATTCCACAAACATTTATGGAGGGCTGACTGGAAGCCAAACACCAAAGGTACATATGCATTCACATGTCTAAGGAACCATGTCCTGTGAAGAAGACATTCAAGCTTGCTGACATTTCCTGATCAATGTAGTTAATCTGTAATGGTAAGCAGAAAGGGCTTCCCTAAGGCTTATCTAACTCCACATTGAAGGGAGTATATTCCTTTCTCAGTGGATGACCCAGTCCTTAGAAGAAGAGTGGAAGTTTCCAGGGAAAAGGAGGGAATAGTAAGACAGATAAGATTGACAGGCTATTAACAAGAAAGGAGTTTGTGGCACTGCAAGAAGTTCTGTCTACCTTATAAGGAGAGTGCAAAGAGTGGAGAAATAAGAGATGAGGCTGGTGAAAAGAATATAATTACATTATAAGATTTACCATCTTTCATCTCCAATATTCTATGAACTATAGATACCAAAGAAAGTAGTCCTTATTTTCTGAGTAGGGTGAGAGGTAAAGAAACTTAAGGATACCTTCATACACTAAAAAATATGGGTAGACCCATAGGGAGAGCCAAGAGTTGGGAGATGGAGCTTAGAGTCTCAGACAATCTGGATGAAGGAAGATGCAGGTGGAAAAGTTGAGGAGATAGTTGTAGGATAGAAGGAAAAGGAGAGATTAAAAATGACAGATTAAGATTAACAAAAACATGCACACAAACAAACACACCTCAGACATAACTCTGAAACACATATGACTTGCTGTCAATGGATGAGTGGCTAAGATGATGTCTCACACACACACACACACACACACACACACACACACACAGACACACACACACACAATGGAATACTATTCATCCATGAGAAAGAAAGAAATCTTGCCAATTGTGACAGTATTGATCAACCTCGAGGGCATTATGCTAAATGACATAAGTCAGACAGAAAAAGACAAATACTATATGATGTCACTTATATGTTATTGTGTTGTTGTTCAGTAACTAAGTCATGTCTAATGCTTTGCAACTCCATGGTCTATAACACAGCACAATCTTCTGTCCTCCACTATCTCCTGGAGTTTGTTCAAATTCACATCAATTGAATCAGTGATCTAACCATCTCATCCCTCTTCCAACCCCTTTTCCTTTTGCCTTCAACCTTCCCTAGCATCAAGGTCTTTTCCAATGAATCAGAACTTCACATTAGGTGGCCAAAGTATTGGAGCTTCAGCTTCAGCAACAGTCCTTACAATGAATATTTAGGGTTGATTTCCTTTAGGAATGAGCAGTTTGATTTCCTTGCTGTCCAAGGCATTCCCAAGAGTCTTCCTTGTCATCACAATTCAAAAGCATCAATTCTTCAGTGCTCCACCTTCTTTATGGACCAACTCTCACACACATATATGATTACTGGAAAAAGCGTAGTTTTGACTATGTGGGTCTTTGTAAGCAAAGTAATGTCTCTAATTTTTAATACACTGTCTAGGTTTGTCATAGCTTTCCCTCCAAAGAGCAGGCATTTTTTACTTTCACAGCTTTAGTCACTATTCCCAGTGATTTTTAAAGCCCAGGAAAATAAAATCTGTCATGGCTTCCACTTTTCCCCTTCTATTTGCCATGAAGTGATTTAACAGATGCCATAATCTTAGTTTTTTGAATGTTAAGTCTTAAGCCAGCTTTTCACTCTTCTCTTTCACCTTCATCAAAAGACTCTTTAATTCCTTTTCACTTTCTGCCATTAGAGTGGTGTCATCTGCATATCTGAGGTTGTTGATATTTCTCCCAGTAATCTTGATTCCAGCTTGTGAGTCATCCAGTCTGACATTTTGCATGATGTATTCTGCATATAAGTTAAATAAACAAGGTGACAACATATAGCCTTGTCTTACTCCTTTCCCAATTTTGAGCCAGTCAGTTGTTCTCTGTCCAGTTCTGTTTCTTCTTGACCTGCATACAGGTTTCTCTGGAAACAGAAAAGGTGGTCTGGTACTCCCATCTGTTTAAGAATTTTCCACAGTTTGTTGTGATCTACACAAAGGTTTTAGCATAGTCAATGAAGCAGAAGTAGATGTTTTTCTGGAATTCCCTTACATTCTCCATGTTGCAACAAGTATTGGCAATTTGATCTCTGGTTCATCTGCTTTTTCTAAACACAGCTTGTACATCTGGAAGTGCTTGGTTCACATAGTGCTGAAGCCTAGCTTGAAGGATTTTGAACATAAACTTGCTGGCATGTGAAATGAACACCATTGAACAGTAGTTTGAATATTCTTTGGCCTTGCCTTTCTTTGGGATTGGAATGAA